TGGGGTGAAAAAATCTTCGCTAAGCCAAAAACCAGCGATATTTTCAAGTTTTGAATTTTTTCTTCAGGCCTTCTCAGTTTGTAGAGGATACTTCGAAGTATATATGCTGAAGTTTTCTCAGCTTACTTACATTATTTAGCTGAGAAAAAAATTAATTACTTAAAATAATGTTGGTAAATTTCGAATACCAGACCTACCGAGCGGCCAAAAATAAATTCTAAAATTTGTAAGATAGTCCGTCTTGTAGCCCGTGAAATTCTTCATCAAATGAGGTATTGCTTGAAATTTTTCGTTGAGTCCTTATTTTACAAATGGGACTTTAAGCTAGTAGAGTAGGCTAAATTAACCTTAATTAGTGCTAATTAGTCAATAACCGGAAGAAAAGAACAAAAGTTTTTACATATTTTCTCGTCGTAAATATTCTCCACACATTTCTCTATCGATCTAGGCAAGAACCAAGCTTTTGTGATGAATGGAGGATGGACAGGAATTTTTTTAATAATAACCCCGTGCTCAAAAATTTAACAATATTTTTTAAAGTAATTAATTTTTTTCCCAGCCAAATAACGTCAGTAAGCCGAAAATACTTCAGGACATATACTTCGAAGTGTCCTCTACAAACTGGGAACGCTAGAGAAAAATCTAAATGGGGGGCCCCCCCCTTAAAAGAGAAGAGAAAAAAAGTGTTTTTTGAACATGTTAGTAAGTACATAAATCATGAAGTGACAATGACTTCAGACTAGAATAGTAATTATTCACACTACTTTACTGTACGTTAAGGGCACCCTGCTCTCGCCCCCCCCCCCCGCTCTTTTTTTACCCTGTTGGAAACTAGGAAAGCTGATGTGGGTTATGGTTCTAATTTATACCAGAGATAGAACGTCGAAAAGAAGATCGATGTATTTTTGCCGAGAATTTTCTGACATGTTCTTCTGTGAGTTTTCTGGAAAACTCCAGTTTTCATTGGCACACATTACGAGCCCCGGAAAAAATGGTCCGATCGAGCTCAGAATTTTACCGCAGACACTTCAGACCCTATCTCAGGTTCACTTTTTTCTTTTCAAAAAATATTCTTTCCTTCTCGAGATATGGACCATTTTTTCGAGGGTTCGTAATGTGTGCCAATTGCAGGGGCTATTGAAAAAACGTATAGTAAGAAAAACACATATTGTACACATGGCTCTGTTTTTCAGGGCATTTGCGGCTATGCTTATATCTCTTAGAAAACTCATTGAAAGTTTTGGAAAACATCTCATTCTGAAGAGCACACTTTCTTCTATTATGCCATATATTACAAAAAATTTTGAATATATAAGAAAGGAGAGAAAGATTTATAACTCTGAAAAATTGAGATTTTTTATGCTTGGAAGGAAAGACTTAAAAACTTCATAATTTTTTCATGGAAGGTCATGGAGAGCTGGGAGTGGTCTCATTTTATAGCCCAGACTTTCCTCTACATTAGACTATGTTCAACTCAAAATGACAACTTTCCTGCAAAAAAGAGGGGTGTGTGGAATACCCTTAAGCGTAACTTGCCTGGTAAATTTTTAAGAAAGCAATTACGAGAACCACTTCTTTCAGAGAAATAAAGCCATCCTCTTGCTGGTACAGTCCCTAATGATAAGAGATGATTTATTTCTTGGTCGGGTTGTCTCTTACCAGAGAACAAAGCAGGATCAGTATATTTTGCACTCACTTCTGACTCTTTGTCGACATAAACACAACGTGATATACAATACTTAAAAAACATTTGGTATTCTTCTCTCACATAACATTATTTCATGTGAAAATCTGCTAACAATGATATAATCCAATGAAGAAAGCTTCACAAAAACTACGCTGAATAATCACTGTTGAGTTTAAAAGTAATTATAGATACTCTATTGTTTATTGTGGTTGTTATTTGGTGCACCACAATTTTTTTTCTTTTCTGGAGTATAAATGAAGATCAAGATTAGAAAAATGGTGATAGAGATATTATATATCTAAGCTCATAAAATATCAAAGTAACAGCGAGATTCGAAATCTTATAAAGTACAATGGCGTCAGAATAATGGAATCGGTATTTGCATTGTGTTACAAAGAAGCGTTCGTATTACGGAAAATCGAAGCATTATGAACTTTTTGATTGATTGTGTATTATATCTTGCTTCGGAAACGATGGTGGTAAGCTGTATAGTTTGTTTTGAATGTTAGCTAAATATTCGGTTAGCGTATCCAGTTATTTAACAGCATTGAGTAATGGTCGAATTAAGCCAGAAATTAATCTTTTAAGCCCTCTTGTCAATCATGTCTGTGAATGTTATCGAAGACAGAGTTGTTGATGCGGCTGTTAAACAAATAGGTAAAAGTCCATGGACATTTATTCTTGATTTAACATAAGATACAAATAAAAAGAAGCCATCATCTTTTTAGCCCGATATTTGGAAAGGAGTCTACCTAAGTTCTGACCTAACCTGGAGGCATCACATCGAGAATGTTGCTAAGAGATGCAGGATGATGTTAGGCGGCCTAAATCGTACATTTAAATCAGCACCGTCATTCATTCGGCTGCATATTTATAAAACGCGTATTTTGCCTGTAATTGATTACTGCTCTATAGTGTACGATAATGATTTTGTAACTCACTTAGCATTACTAACATCAATTAATAAACTAGCTGCACGCATAATACTGAACGATTATGCTTCTCCTAGTTCAACTCTTATTAAAACACTTAAGTTACCGGATTTGAGCCTGAGAAGAAAATTCTTTAGATTAACATATTTTCACAAACTAATTACGGGCCGTAGTGCTCTTGCACGATTCAATCTTGTAACACCACTCAATACTAGAACTTCTCAGCGTACATCAAATCGATGTCTTTGGCAAATACCAACTTTCAAACGCAAAACTACCAGTTCTTCTTTTCTACCTAAAACTATCAAAGAATGGAATCGGTTACCGCGGGAGGTAATAAGTGCTTTCAATTTTCGAGCTTTTAGACGTGCATTGATTAAACACCTTTTGTAACAGTTTATAATAAGCCATATTCTCTTTACTCTTTTTTCTTTTCTTTTTTTCTTTTGCTTGTTTTTCTTTTTTTGTCTTTGGGAGAATTTTGACAAGTAGCCAGATGCTGCTTTTTATTACTACCCTGTCATTTTACATCACTGACTAAATAAATAACTAACTAACTAACTGGAAACGAGTGATAAAGGAAGAATATTTCCAGGTGAGCATGTTCTAAATGCATCTTCAATAACTCATACAACCAGCCAAGACTTTGTTACGTGAAGATAAGTTCCTTACGTAAAAGACCAAAGATGATATGAGGTTCGGTCAATCAGGTAGAATTATTCGCATTTTATGTGTATTTACAAAATCTTAACAGTATTACCACTTGCAAGCCGAAACAAAAATGATATTGTTAACGAATTAAACAGAGGGGCGCTAGTTGATAATTCTAAAATGTGTTCGAATGCCTAGAACAGGGAATTGTTACAACAACATCAAGGCTAAAAATATCTCACACAAGAAATTTCTTTCACTTTCTGATAAAAAAAGAGGTAAAGGAGCAAAAGAAAAATAGAAAGGTATAGAAACGGGCTATTGTAAGTACACCGCATAACAGATTCTTTTTATAAGTTTATTTTTTTCCTAGAACCGTCAAATGTCGCAGGTTCTAGTGTCTTTGAAGTCATATCATTCTTCCTGATGCATGAATCATGAAAGAACCTTTTTAGGTACCTCATTGGATTTCAGTCATTTATATGTCGATCGACAGAAGATAGTGAGCTGGTAAAAACCCTAAAACTTCGGGCTTTTGTTCGGATTTTGGCTCTTGTTGCTTCTTTCCAAACGTTATACGATTTTGTCTCGTTCTTCCTAGTGAAACAAGGAAAAATTAAGAATTTTATAACTCTCTCAAGACAAGAAACTAGGAGTTCAGATTATTTTCTGTCCCTCTTTTCTATGTCTCTGGTATCCACAAAAGGTCTCAGCTTTCCAGCTGATTGCGTTCTGAATTTATTAAATGTTTAAGTTTTTCATAGACTCGCCCTTAGATGCGCTTAGAATGCAAGAGCTATAAAACCATCAATTCTTTACAAAACTTGCGCAACTTTCAGAACTAGACATGCACCGATTTCGATTAATCGAGTTTCGATTATTCGATATCGAACATAATCGAACTTCGATTATTCGAAATCGAAAATAACCCAAAATGTCTTACTCTAAGCGCAATACGAAATTTTTCGTATGGCAAATACTAAAGCGACGTAAGAGATCAGATTACTTGTGTAAAATGAAGTTAACATGCACAGCGATTGTTGCGTGGTGACTAGGAATGCAACGGTAAAGGTTACGGTTTTACCGGTCTAATCGGTTTTTCCGTTACCGCTTTACCAGTTTTACCCTATCTTAGCCGTTTAACGTTCACTATGAATTCCTAGTCACCACGCAACAACCGCTGCGCATGTTAACTTCATTTTACACTATACACAAGTAATCTGAACTCTTATAGTCGCTTTATTACTTGCCATACGAAAAGTTTCGTATTGCGCTTAGAGTAAGACATTTTGGATTATTTTCGATTTCGAATAATCCAAGTTCGATTGTGTTCGATTTCTAATGATCGATGTTCGATTATTCGATTTTTAATCGAAATCGGTGCATGCCTATCCAGAACTGAGATGCTTTTGACTAGTGCAGACGCGAATAATCGAAATTATATACTGTTGATGTTCTAAAACTCCCGTTTCCAAGAGAGTCATTGAAGTGGATAATCCACGATCAGCCTGAAGCCATCTTTTTCTTTTCGAAATATAAATAAGGCATAAAAACCGTTTCAGAGCTGAAAGTTTCTCAAGTTTTGTAAAGAATTGACGATTTTGTAGCTCTTGCATTCTAAGCGCATCTAAGGGAAAAGATAATGTTTACAAGTAGTTTCATGAATGTACTTCGACTCAGATATACAAGCTTATTATCAGCATTCACTTCCAGATACTTTTTCGTTGCAAATGAGTGAGCCACAGCATCAGGTTGAAGTTTGTAGTGAATGCGATGAGAAAGCTGACTGGTATTGTGTACAAGATGATTCCAATTTTTGTGATAAACACAACTTAGTCGTACATGCCCTAAGAGCACTCAGAAACCACGAAAGAGTACCAATTGGTGACAAGCAAAACAATGTGAAACCGTCAAACTGTCAAAATCACCATATGCCATTGTGTTTGTATTGTCTGACGTGCAAGGTAATGTGAACTTCACCTTCCTCTTCACTCTTTCAGTCCCACTTGGGTGAAAGATCATTCTCCCTCCTTCGTCTGAGCAATCACTGATGTGCTTCTTCTAGACTCTTTGTTGTCTTGCTTGTCAATCTCTTGGTCTTCATAAAGAGCATCAAGTCAAGTCTGTTGTCGATGTAGTAGATGACGAAAAAGCGGAACTGAAAAAGCAAATTGACAAACTGCGACCTGTAGCCATTGCTTGCGAAGATGAAGCGGAAACATTGGAGAAAATAATACAAGGTTAGTGCATGTTTTCAGCTTGTTGGTGACGTCGTCTCTCCCTTGTTCATTCAGATATCAATGATAGTGAAATCAGAAGTGGCGAAAGTATTGAAAAAGAATTTGGACATCTTGTGAACCTTCTCACTACAAGAAAAGAGAAGCTGAAAGAGGAACTGAAACAGAAGTCACAGGTGCGCTGAGCAGAGCACTCTTTCTCTTATTCTTTATTGTTTTTTGTTCTATGGCAGACTTGTCGTGACAATGTGCATTCTCGTCAAGAGAACTTGAACAATATGAAATCAAGTTTGAACAAGGGGCTGAGAGAAGCTGAACATACTTTGTCATTGAATGCATTTGCTGCACTGTCACAAACAAAAAGTGTTATTGAGCAATTAGAAAAGGCTAAGAATGATTGCAGAGAATACCATCACCATTCTTCGTTACCTACAATCATTTCGTTTACTATTCCCAGTCAAGCTATTGCTCAAACTGTTGCAAGTGTAGGCTCTGTCGTGGAAGCACGTAAGTGAAGCGCATCGAACGTATTATCGGTTTGTCAACAATAACTGTGGTTCACACGCCTTATTACGAAAGCAAAGAGATACTACGGTGATCGACTTTAAATGTGATGTACTATACAGTTCGAATTAAAAGATCGATAGCCAGCTATTTTTCGAATAACTCGGAAATGCAATAAGATGAACTGATGCAGTTTTCACCGTTCGCCACTCGAAACCCGACACCTGAGCGTACCTCTCCAAAGGCACAAATGTTATTAAACAAGGTTTTCGATGTGGTCTTAGGAAAACCAGTTCGTAAACCCAAGAATGAAAATAGGAAAGTATTGATATTTTTCATCAATGGATAGTTCAAAGTGTTCTTTGCACGAGCAGTACTACGCGGTTTCTTAATCTTCCGTGGTTTAGACACGGTACTCTGTTTTGTCCGTTCCATCCGACCCTGCGCTTAACAAATGTAAAAAATCATCTTTTCCTTCTGAAGGTTTCTAGAAAGCCTTCTCAAGATTTAAAGTATTCTCAGCTCGTTTATAGCTGTTATTGTGTTTATAGCTAGTAACAGCAATTTTCAAATTGTACTCAAATATAAGCAGGACTGGATTAGTTCACCTAGCATACGTCTGCTCCAACAGGGCTCAGAATTAGATTCAATCAGTGGCATATTCGTGTACGGATAAACACACAGCTATTTCTACTCTTTCTAGCGACTCGTATCTCCATGAAAACATCATCATTAGCATTAAACACATGAACTCCAGTAGCCAGCATGTCATCAGCACGACGGCTCCACACTGCAACTTTGTTATCATCCGGGAAAGTATTAGTAACAGGTGGTTATGGTTTGTCGAGTTGCGAAGTGTATGATCCTCCATCGAATACATGGACTCCAGTCGCCAGCATGTCATCAGCACGACAGTGCCACACTGCAACTTTATTATCATCCGGGAAAGTATTAGTAACAGGTGGTGGAAGTTTGTCGAGTTGCGAAGTGTATGATCCTCCATCGAATACATGGACTCCAGTAGACAGCAAGTCATCAGCACGACAGATCCACACTACAACTTTATAAACATCCGGG